GCCCAGATCCCAGATCTTTCTCCATCAAGGAGAACCTTTAACCATCAGGGAACTCTGCCCAGATTCCTCATCTTTCTCCGCCAAGGAGAATCCTTGACCACCAAAGGCAGTCTGCCCAGATCCCAGATCTTTCTCCATCAAGGAGAACCTTTAACCACTAGGGAACTCTGCCCAGATCCCAGACCCTTGGAGAAGATCTGCTTGCTTGTTGTTTTTTTTGCCTACAGTTTGAAGAGCTGGTGTACCTGTGGATGGAGCGGCAGAAGTCAGGAGGAAATTACAGCCGCCACCGGGCTCAGACGGAGAAGCATGTTGTGCTCTGTGTCAGCTCCCTCAAGATAGATCTGCTGATGGACTTCCTGAACGAGTTCTACGCTCATCCGAGGCTGCAGGTAAAGGTTGGATGGGCTGTCTTATCGGCAATGTTCTGGCCCAGGCTTCCTTAAAAAGCAAGAAGCCGAGTCTTGGTTCCGGCAAAAAAAACCTTTTATTTAGATGACTGTGAATTCCTTTTATTCACAGTCTGCAAGGCTCGGCAAACAGCCTTTCAGAGGAATGTTTATCCACACGAACTTTATCTCGCTTGGAGAGCTGCCAGATAACTAGTTTTCTAACACAGGGCAAGGCAAAACTTGGCACAGAGTCTCTCATAGTCACAAACAGAACTTTATACTCTTGAAATGACCGAAGGAACGAATTGTTTCCTGCAAAAGCCCCCTCCCCCTTCACTCCTCTTTTGTTTCCTCTGGGAGGGGCCAATAGTGTGGCAAGAGTTGATACATCCCAACAACTCTCTGACTCTGTCCATCATCTTCTTTTACTGACCCCATAATCCCTTGCAGGGTGGAGTCTGGGCAACTGAATGCAACTGAGTCCTTACTGCCCGGATGCCTTTCCGTCCCCAATGCAGAGTTTTGTTCAGCAGATATATTCCCCTTGTGGCTGGACAGAGAAATATCACCTCTACCTAAGATTGTGAGGCAAGAGCTCCACCTACAGGCCGCCACACCACTCCAAACTCTCTGACTCAATGCCTAACTAAACATTTTCATTTTGGGTTCTTGGATGAGTAGCCAAACATCTTTCATCTGGTTGGTCCATGATTTAAGCTTGCTAGATACTTTCGGCCTAGATGATTGAGTCTTCATTTAACATACCTTTCAGGATTACTACGTGGTCATCCTTTGCCCCACAGAAATGGATATTCAGGTGCGCCGTGTGCTTCAGATCCCATTGTGGTCCCAGCGGGTGATCTACCTCCAGGGATCTGCCCTGAAAGATCAGGACCTCATGAGAGCAAAGTGAGTTTGGTTTAGTTTACTGTCATTGCACCTCACACAAACGAAATGAAACGCCGTCTTCAGTGTACATTATAACTCTCAAAATAAAAACACAAACACACATCCTTCACATGCGATACAATTGAAATGGGACACCCGATTGTCAGCGTTCCAAGTATCATGCAGAATTAAATCAGAGTCCAAGGCAAAACGATCCTTAAAGTTCCAAT